TGTTAGCTTTGAGTCCTTGACAAAATGTGTTTCTTCAGAGGAAGCATATTTTAAATGGATGCTGAATCTGTTATAAAACGTTGCCTTGCTTGTGGTTTAGTTTTAAATTAGTTTTTTATGAGTTTTCGAGTGAAATGAGTTTTAAACGACTCATTTGTTAGCAGTTCCACATTGCTGGAATCAGCCAGCCTTCCTCGTGCATCCTCATCATCCCCCTTTCTCACTATGCAGGCTGTGACTTTTTTTTCACTCGTATAACTTTCCTGTTTAGTTTTCCCCCAACAGATCTTCATGGGTTTTACTCATTGACACATTGACTTAAGTGGACTCCTCACCTCATTAAGGAACTGTGATGTGGAGCTTTTTTGTGAGCTACATACAGCTGGATTCTAACAATAATTCATTTTTAATTATAATATACCCTTTTTTTATTGATCACTTTTGGTATTAAATAGTATAGCATAATTAATCTTTGCATCAGGAGTGTGACTGTGATGTCTCAAAATGCTGCCTCCATAGGGAACTCTCTAGGTTTTGGAACAGAGCAAATGTGGGCATAAGATCAAACCACTAATAAGGAGGCCACACTAACTGCTGAGGAGTACATCTGTGCTTTCGGACAAGTGATCAGCAACAAGAAGTGACCAATCAGAACACACAAATGCAGATGTCCACACCCACCAACACTTTTCTTGTTTTTTTGTGTAGAGCAGAGCCCACCCTGTAGGAGTTCTCACATTTTTTAATAAACCCTTATTAAACCTCATTAAGGAACTGTGATGTGGAGCTTTTTTGTGTACATACAGCTGGATTCTAACAATAATTCATTTTTAATTATAATATACCCTTTTTTATTGATCACTTTTGGTATTAAATAGTATAGCATAATTAATCTTTGCATCAGGAGTGTGACTGTGATGTCTCAAAATGCTGCCTCCATAGGGAACTCTCTAGGTTTTGGAACAGAGCAAATGTGGGCATAAGATCAAACCACTAATAAGGAGGCCACATTAACTGCTGAGGAGTACATCTGTGCTTTCGGACAAGTGATCAGCAACAAGAAGTGACCAATCAGAACACACAAATGCAGATGTCCACACCCACCAACACTTTTCTTGTTTTTTTGTGTAGAGCAGAGCCCACCCTGTAGGAGTTCTCACATTTTTTAATAAACCCTTATTAAAGTCCATTTAAATTTTAGCAGCCTAGTGTAAATGCAGATTTTGTCCTGTTAATTTGAATAGATGTTTTTATTCCCAATGTGAAGCACAAACATTAAGATGCTGTTTAAAAACAACACTGTTTATCTGCATTTCCCATGTTTATAGATATGGCAAGGAGATACAGAGTCCACAAAACTAACATCGAAGTACTGATGAAATCTGCGGCGTTTGCTCGGGACTAGGGATATGCCCATATCAAATTTTCATGTTGCAATTAATTGCTAATGCTTTTATCATGGTATACGGTATTATCATGATATTGAAATTAGGGCTGCATGATTAACCGAATGCGATTGTCATGCACATCTTGTCAATAAAGCCGGTTCTGTGATTAGAAGTAAATCTCCATCACCTGCTTTCAGATGGAGCAGCATTTACTACGTACACAGAGCCGTAGTTCTCTGACAAGCTACAAAAAAAATCGCTGATGATATAATCGTACGATTATGAAATCGAAGATATAGTTCGCGATAATGACAGCTGTTTGCGTAGCTTCTCAGTGAACTACGTCTCTGTGTAGTACATTTCATTATAGATATACCTTATTATAATGAAAATTATAATAAGAACTCCGATAAACCATATATTGCCGTAGTCGTGTGTTTATTAGTCACGTTGAATCAATGAAAGCAGTTAAATCTTTTGTTTATTCAGCTACCGCTATAGGGATTTCCTGGGTTTCTTCTGCGAGGCGGTATTTGTAGTTTCAGCGCGAGAGTGCCCTCTGGCCTTTGGATGGAGATTTACTGCTGATCACAGAACCGTGCTTCACTGTAAAAAAAACTTTGAAAATAAATAGCCTATTAAGTCTAAATATTTAAGTATTTGGTGCTGTGATGAACACCATTGCGAATACACAAATCTGAATGGCTGTTTAAATACGTTTCAGAAACAGAAAGTAGCGCAGCAGCTTTGTTTACGGGGTAACGACTGCATTTCTGCTGTTCAGCGCCATCTGCTGTCAGAGAGTGAATGTGTTTTCATTCAGAGCGTTTCGCTCCGCCATGCGCTTCTCATCCGTGCTTGTTTACGCTTCTGTGACACAGCATACAGCGGTGTTGTGCATTGTGACCAGTTGATGGGAAAAGTATTCTTTAAATGCATTCAAAATTCTGAATAATTTGTAATAAATAATTATTCTCAGTATTTTGAAGTGCCCACGATAACAATAGCATGCATATTCATTATCGTGATATATCACATTACCGAATACCGGCACATTCTACTCGGGACTCATTACCATCAAATCTTCTGCACTTGCCATTCAAGTGCTTTTGAGTGGAAAACACTGCAAGTTGTTTGTGCAAAGTCATCCTGCCATGTGTTGCTTTTGTTTTGCAGACTTTTGTTTCTGGTCTCATGTTAGGACACTCTTCTCATTTTTGAGTAACTATTAACTCCTTGGTGTAAGTTCTGCAATCATTCTTACGGTTTGAATTCGACTCGCACCTAATCATTAACTTTCATTAACTCGCATTGATTTGTAGCTCTGCATTCATGCCCGACGTGAACAATCTACACATTGATTACAAAGTCAATAAAGAATGATGAGATTTTTGGATGCTGGGTGACACACTCCCTAGAGGCTAATATGATACTGTTTTTTGAAAATGACAAGCTTATGGCTCTGCGACTAGAGATCATAATTAACTGGGACGGGTTTATTAGGGAATACTGCTCTGCTTTGCTTCTGCATGCTAAATGGTTTCTAGTCATGCAGTGAAACCGATGCAGTGCTACTCTTAATCTTCTGTGTGCTCCAAGCTGGAGACGTGTGAGCAGTCATCCTCAAGCTGTACAGTGCCCATCATAAAAGGAAAGACATTGTCATTAGATCTCAGACTTAAACAGTACACCTTAGCACTTTGCAGGCAATAAGAGAAGGTATAGAAAGCTTTTAAAGCAATATCACACTTGTGCTGAATATCAGTATGGTTATGATTTTGCACAAGGCTGCAGGCAGTCATGGCTTATATTCAGTAAAACTGCACAATTGTGAGTGATTATTGATTTAGAGATCATCACGAATGCATTAAATTATGTACAGAGTCTTTTGGGGTATAAAAAACATTTTGAAATGCTTTTTAAAAACACTCCCAGGTAATTTTATGGTAACTCTGACCTTATATTTGCAGACAAAAGGTCCAAGTTGTGGTTTTGGACAGGACGGGGTTATGGCGTGAGAAACTATGAATGTTTGTTGTTTTTATTTGACTTCCTCAGATCCTTAACATCTTCAAGGTCACCCTTATGAGTCTTGAAGAACAGCTTATTTACTTAGAAAATATGTCATTCGACAACGTAATACTGTCTCCAGAGTTTTGAGAGAGGCATCTGCTCTGACGCAGGCTGCCTACTAGTTGAATATTTAATGCTACTGATCAGCACAGTGTGCCTGAACACTTAAAGGGATAGTTCACCCAATAATCTAAATCCTCTCATAATTTTCTCACCCTCAAGTTGTTCCAAACCTGTATGAGTTTCTTGAATTTCTTTCTTCAAAAGAAGATATTATGGATAAGTTGCTGCAGAAGTTAAAGTTGCTATTGTTGCTGGTCCACATTGACTTCCGTAATATAGAAAAAAAAATGTTATGGAAGTCAAGTTTAAGGAGTAGTTCACCCATTTATGGAAATGGTGTCATTTACTCACCCTCATTCCATCAACATGTTATTTTCTTTCTTCTGTTTAGCTTGAAATGAATTATTAGACAAAATATCTGAGCTGCTTTTTCCATACCTTTAAATCTGGATAATGATTATAAAGCTCCAAATATGATAGTGTGAGGAACACGTATTATTATGTAAATTGTTCACTGATATTTTGTAATATGTCATCACCAAAGCTACATTTATTTGATCAAATATTCAGTAAAAACTGTGATATTGTGGAATATTATTAGAATTTAAAATAGCTGTTTTCTGTTTTAAAATATTTTAAAATGTAACTTATTCCTGTAGTGGCAAAGCTTTTCAGAAGCCATTACTCTAGTCTTCAGTGTCACATGATCCTTCTGAAAGCTTTCTAATATGCTTAGAAATAGTCTTTACGGTTTTGATCAATTTAATGCGTTTTGTTAGGTGTGATACAAAACACTTGTACATTTCTGTATGCAAACTATTGTTGAAACTGAATTTCTCATAATGCCTGTTAGAAAGGGAAAACCAAGCTTGCTCTCTAGAGATACTTGCCTTGGATTGCTTTGAGGTTGAAATTCTCCACTGCTCCGGGGGTCTTTGTATCAAGCACAGGGGGAAAAAAAAAACGGTGGCATTTACTGATTAAACAGACCGAATGTCAAAAGAGAGGCATTCAGTGCATTGATGACTGGAAAAGGGGACCAAAAGAATTGAATAGAAGAGACAAAACAGATAAAATCAGCAATTCAAGGCACAGTTCGAAGCAGCATAAAGCAGTGTTTTCGTTGTGAATAATTAGGTAAATTATTCATCTTTTCCCACAGTGACATTTAAATGCATACATTTTCATTAATATTTTAGACACATCTGCATATATTGTGGTAGAATATTCCTGGTGTGTTTTAGGATTATTTTTACTTTTAAAGCGTTATATTACAGTCGCAGTGATGAGAAAATGATTTTAGAAATAGATAAAGCAGATGGAAGTAGTGCCCTATTCTAAGAGCATCTGGACCACCCACGTTTTTGTTTTAAAATCTTGATTAACTACATTTGGACGCAGATTTGTATGTTTAAGAGCAGCTGAAGCCCTGTTTATGCCTAAATAAAATGTGATGTCAATGTTTATTGGTCTTAGGCTGTGAAGACATTGTGGCAGACAGCATCTCTCTGGACTCTGTGGTGGCCATCCTGAAGTGGAGCTCACAGCCATATGGCTCCAAATGGGTTCATCGGCAGGCCATGCACTTCCTGTGCGAGGAGTCCAGCCAGGTCATGACCTCCGACGTCCTCTACGAGCTTAGCAAGGAGCACCTGCTGGCGGCCATTCAGTCTGATTACCTGCAGGTGATGACCTACACCAATTCGCCTTGAGTACTTTTTGGATTTCCTAGTGCAAGATTAGCTAGTTCAGGATTTTACGATTTAGGGTAGCTGGTTATGAGTCAAATAAACTGCACTGTAAATACAGAGACGTCTTTTACTAGATATGCGAAAAAATGACATTTTGTTAACTAAATGTGAACAATAAGGGGGTTGTTCACATAGGGCATGTTATTGGATCCTCAAACAAAATATGTTCATGTGTGCAAAAAATCAGATTAAACTTAATTTTCTAGCTCAGTATTTCTAACAACCTACTTGTAAGGTCTGTTACACATGATTTTTGTGCTGTTACTTCAAGGTCAAGCTTATTTTCTCTCTGGAAACATACAGGGGTAATTCAGGGTAACTGAATCATATTGCACTATTGGGAAATTTGTTTATTTCAGTCCACAAATCATTGCAGTGCTTCAGGCCTATCCATTTCAGACAGCAGCGTGTCAGTATCAGTCTGTTTATCGATCTCTGTTGATCAGGGCTCCCTTCTCTTAAAGGTGAAGGTCACCTGCTTTTGTTTTTAGACAAATGAGTCAGCTGTATCAGATGTCCCCCTTAAGTCTCCTCTGTGAGCTAATATAGAGAGCTGTAACCCCATCTGGGATTTGGCCTGGCACACAGAAATCTGTTAATGCCTTCACACTCCTGTGTGCTAGCTGTTCAGCGTTTACAAGTCTTCGTTAACTCTAGTCTGGGTCAAACCTGTTGAAATGATATAATCCCTGTAGTGACTGAGAATTTGTAAACAAATATTAACAAAGACTAGCATTGTTTTGACAATATAAAAATGTTGTTTTTATACCATGCTTCAAAAAAAGGGGCATTAACTGATTGATTCATTGGCATGGTCATGGAAAACCTGTAAATATCAGTGAATTTTGAGCTTGTGCATGTCTAAAAATGACATGGAAATTAATACATTCTTAAAAGTCATGGAAATGTCTAATGAATAATATACTTTTTTTCTAGTTATGCTCATTTCATTAGCTATTTTCTAGAGCTTGAGTAGAGTAAAGCTTGTTTATCGACATTCATTTTCAGTAAGTAAACAAATAGGTCAGAATGATTCACGTGAATACATTAAGTGCTGTGGACTTTGTCAAGACATATAAGAGCTGTTGGTCATGTCTAAATCCCGTTCACTCTCTCTCGCCCCTAATTTTCGGTTTGCATTCTACTGCTGTAGTGTAAAAGGCAAAAAGTCCCAAAAATAACATTTAAGAAAGTGTAGGCACCCTGATATGAAAAATTTTTATTTTGTTTGAGGGTTAATCTATGTCCATTAAACCTGGATCAGCTTCTGACGATGAATGAAATTAGATTTGGGCTGTGCAATATTCTCAGTAAGAGATAAGATAGTAGGAAAATCATTTTTCTCAGGTTTTACCTTGTACCTGCAGGACCTGCTGCTATGAAATACATTGGTTTTATATATCCTGTTTTTTTTTCGATATCGTTCTGTTGCGTACAGCAGTCTTCTTCAGCCTTGCAGCACTGACTAAATTCAGTAACATAAACTGGTACTGTTCTTCTCCCCTCTTCACAGGCCAGTGAACAGGACATCCTCAAGTATGTTATAAAGTGGGGCGAACACCAGCTCATCAAGAGGATGGCCGATAGAGGTATCACATGCAGACACTATGTTACTAGATACACATTAAAGGAATAGTTCATCCAAAAAAGAAAAGTCTGTCATTTATTTACTCACCCTCATGTCGTTCCAAACTTATATGTTGTTGTTTTTTTTTTCAAGAAACAAAAAAGTGTTTATATACACTACTGTTGAAAAGTTTGGTTTCGATAAGATAATTTGAATGTTTTTTAAAAGAAGACTTATACTTAACACAGCTTCATTTTATTTGATCAAAAATACAGTAAAAACAGTAATATTGTGAAATATTATTACAATTTAAAATAGTTTTTTTTTATTTTAATATTTTAAATTGTAATTTATTCTTGTGATGGCAAAACTGAATTTTCAGCATCCATTACTCCAGTCTTCAGTTTCACACGAGCCTTCAAAAATCATTCTAATATATTGATTTGCTGCTCAAGGAAAACAATTTTGAAAACAGTTGTGCTGCTTATTTTATGAATAAATGATACAATTTTCTTCTAGAAAGTTCAAATGAACAGCATTTATTTGAAATAGAAATCTTTTGTGACGCTACAATGTTACTGTCACTTTTGATCAATTTAATGCGTCATTGCTGAATTAAAGTATTAATAAATAAAAAAAAACTTACTGTCCTTAAACTTTTGAACGGTACTGTGTATTTCATTCCAAGAACCATTACATAACTTATTTCATACAGTGACAGTGCACAATGGCCATGTCTGTCAGACTCCAAAAATGGGTGGGATATTTAAGATAAAAATAGCATAACATCATAACATGAATATCTTAAATGTGGTCCATTTGTCTTGTGCTGTATTTTAACTTGAATTGTAGGGCACAAGTCATATTGACCACTTTTATGGTGCTTTTATGAGATTGATAGCCTGTGATCCCCATCCACCTTCATTGTATGGAAAAGAGCAGTTCACATATTCTGCTAAACTACTTCTTTTGTGTTCCACGGATGAAAAAGTCATACAGGTTTGGAACGACATGAAGGTGACAAAGTAATGTTGAACTACCTGAACTATTTCTCCATCTCCTCCACACACACACACACACACACACACACACATATACCTTTCTCTGGGCTGAACTTTTTTTCTGTGCCACTGAATTTGTCCCTGTTTCCACCTCTTGCTATAGATGGTGGTCTGAACTATGCCAGTCTAATGATTTATTCCCCAATCCTCCTAATGTCTAGTAATGACTCTGACTGGCTCAGCTCTGAGAAATCAGGCCAAGTGCTTTGCAATACAGAAGCATAGCATATGGCTGGCGGCTCCAGACCTGGGTCTGCAATTGCTCTTTGTACCCAACAGAATCAAATATACCCATACTAACACTATCTTGAACGTTTATAGCTGGTGCCAAACCGCAAACACGATCTCTGATTGCTTTTCTCCCAGAACACATTCTAAAGGGAAACAGCAATGCACAGACTCACCTTCATTTTGTCATTAACAGTCTTTATACATAATACTGATTTGCTGTCTGAAGTGTAGATAGTAATTCAGGGTCCAATGCAGTGCAGCATCCTCAGAGCAGGGGAGCTTAAATTCCTCGCTCAAGGGCACGGCTGCAGTCAGTGGAGCTGCATGACGATACCGCTAATCCTCTGGAAGCACACACCCTCCCACCCAACTTTGTCTAATCTATATTGTGGGCTAGAAAAGTTGGGCCACCGTTTCCTCCAGCTCAAATTCTTGTGTGTGTGTGTGTTTGAAGCTGTGTGTTTCTGTGTGTTCCCCAGAGCCTAACCTGTTAAGTGGTACTGCACATAGTGTGAATAAACGTGGCGTGAAAAGAAGGGATCTGGACCTGGAAGAGCTTAAAGAGATTCTCTCTCCACTGCTGCCTTTCGTCAGAACTGAGCACATATTACCAACCAACAGTGAGGTCCTCTCTGACACTGTGAGTGTGTTTGTGTGTCTTCTGGTAATGTGTAGGTCTTTTGGTTTATACAGTTTAAACAGGAGCATTAAGGGGCAGTCACACTAGATTTTAAGCACACAGAATTTCTCCATGCAGCTTCACTTAATTGAAGTTTACAGTTCTTTTGAAATATTTTGAGTAAGTAAGACTTTTCTTTTTAAATCTTTAAATATTTTATCTTTAAATATTGTAATCAGCAAGGTTACGTTAAATGGACAAGTGACAGTAAAACATTTATAATGTAACATGTTTTAAATAAATGCTGTTCTTTTGACATTTCAATGCATCAAAGAATTCGTAAAAAAATGGTTCATGCTTTTCACACAAATAAGCAGCATGACTATTTTCAGCATTGATGATAAAAAGAAATGTTTCTTCAGTACCAAATCGGAGTATTATAATGGTTTCTGAAGGATCATGTGACACTGATACTGGAGCAATGGCTGCTGAAAATACAGCTTTGCCATTAAAGGAATAAATTAAATTTTAAAATAAATTATAATAGAAAACATATAACAGTTTTCACATTTCACAAGTTACTGTTTTTACTGTATTTTTGGTCAAATTAATGCAGACTTGGTGAGCATAAGAGGCTTGTTTTTATTACAGACCTCAGACATTTGAACAGTAGTTTGTTTAATAGTGTTCTTTTTAACTTTTTATAAAAAATATGTAAATCAGGATCATGTGTAAACCACCAAGATCAGTTTCCTTCATGTCTTTTTTCAAAGAGAATATAGAAAAGAAGCGTTTAAATCCTATATTTGTCCTTTTTTTTCCCACCAAACTTGAACTTCATCTAAACTAAACTGTGTAGCATCATTCTGTGAATATGCTTACATACCAGCTATGAATGTAAGTGAATGAACATAAAACTCACTATGAGTGTACTTAGCAGTGTTGTACATGTACTAGTTACATGCAACAGTTATTTAATTTAATTACAAAATAAATATAACTGAAATCTGTTACTGAGAAAAAATATGTAATTAAATTACAGTTACTTGTGAAAATGTTAAATATTACAAAGGGGGTTACATCTGAATATTTTAACACAGACACACACAGATTTAATTGATTTCTTTCCCAAATTGCATTAACTCCTCTAAGAGTCTAATAAGACACCAATGTTTCAGGAGTATAGGACACATGCTTATTCGATAAATGTTTTTTTTTCTATTTGGGTTTATGTATATGCTTTATTTTTTTTAATCAGTTTTTAACCTTAGAACGATCTCAAAGTAAAAAGAGGTGCTAAAGTCTGATTTTTTTTTTTTTTGGTAGTGTGTTTTAAATGGACATTTTTATAATCTTAATTCAATTGATGAAGAATTTTGAAAGTCTGACAGTAATCAGTGTTGAGTGCTACTGTAAGGTTAACCCTGCCTAGTCTAAATGTTTGAAAATGAATAACAGTTGAAAACATTCATTAGAAATTTTGAAAAGTAATCATGTAATCAGTTACATTACTTAAAGTAATTTAAGTAATTGAAATAGTTACACTACTCGTTACATTTTAAATGGGGTAACTTGTAATCTGTAACCTATTACATTTTCAAAGTAACCTTCCCAACACTTCTCTTTAGTCTGTAAAATGCACAGAAATTTGTCATGCTGCCACAAGCCAAATAGGTAATGTTACTTTTGTTTTTCTGTACAGCGCACGCTGAATAAGAATGACAAAAATGGTGATATTGATTGATGTATGAATGGGTACATACTCTGATTCTCAGTACTGCTCAGGATGTAATTTGCTAGAGAGTAAGAAAACGGATACCCCAATGTGCTAATGCTCCAGCAAATTACATCATCTTTCCATCATTCTTCTTGACCGCTCTCTTCAAGTATCGGTAAAGACTTTTCCTCTGCTTTTAACAGATGAAGAGGGGTCTGATCAGCACCCCCCCCTCTGACATGCTGCCCACAGCGGAGGGAGGCAAAGCCAACGCCTGGCTTCGGCAGAAGAGTGCTGGCATTTATGTCCGCCCACGGTTATTCTCTCCTTATGTGGAGGAGGCCAAGGTAGGATACACTTCCTTACCTCACATACAGCAGGGTGGTTAACTGTAACATTACAATGAACTAGTGGAGGCAGAAGAGGTGATTAAAAGATAAAGGCAATTAAATGATACACCTATTAAGTATCTCTATCTAATTTCTTTAAAATACAGTTTTAATAATACAAGATAACATTTTTTTTTAAAAAGTACTTTTTTATTTTTTATTTTATTTTATAGAATGTAATTTATATAGACTGTAATTGTAGACTGTGAATCAAATCTTTTCAAAAAGGCAGTTGGTTTATAGAATAACCTTAGTGCTGTTATTAAATACACTCATTTCATTATACGACTTCCATTAAACTTTGCGTTTTTCTCCAGGCGGTTTTGGAGGAGATGATGGTTGAGCAGACTGACCTGGTTAGGCTGCGCATGGTTCGTATGTCCAATGTACCGGACACACTCTACATGGTAAACAATGCCGTCCCCCAGTGTTGTCACATGATCAACCACCAGCAAATGGCTGGCAGCCAGACAGCTCCACCGTCTGTGGTTGCTAACGAAATACCAGGTGGGTTAAGCACTCATTCATGCCTTGTAATGAATGATGCATTCTTTCAGCCAGTCTTAAAAACTAGCCATTATATATCTGTATAAAATACTCAATTATACATGATTGTGGTGACTCGTTTTATCAAGTCATTTTAGAGAGATTGCGATTTAGTACAAAGGCCAAGTAGATCATGTCCTAATCTAGATGTAGTCTCAAATCCCATAAATCAAACCATGAGAAGTTGTTTGCTCAAGTTAATTTTGCTATTCTTTTGTAAGAAGCAATTCAGTGTTTTTTTAGGTATATGTAATGTGAGTGGGAACATTGGCTTTGTATGTTGGCAAGCTTTGTGATCCTGTGGGTGTTATATAAAACAATTCAACACCCATTAAAAAAGAAAAAAAATTCTTCTTTTTTTGTCTTATATGCCCATCTTGTATTAATGTTGTTTATCTGCTGTGTAATGTTGTTAACTGATGAGCTTCTTGATTTGTATTTGCACATTAAATAAGTCATCTGTTTTCCTTTTATCACCCTGTCTTTCAGTGCCCAGGTTGGCAGTAGTGAAGGGAATGATCCGTAGGCTGCAGGAGCTGCGTCACACAGACCAGGTGCAGCGAGCATATGCTCTGAACTGTGGTGAGGGCGCCACAGTCAGCTACGAGCTGCAGATCCGTGTGCTCAGAGAGTTTGGCCTACCTGATGGGGCTGCAGAACTCCTACAGGTAACCCAGCACATCCTGTTTGCGTGGAGACTGACGTGTTGCTATGGCTACCGTGAATATCTCTCTGACTTTCATGTCAGTTAGTATTATCCTGGCCTCTGATGAATACAATTTATTTTCCAGTGATTTGCAGGCACTCATACTGATTTTGTTCAAATAAAAAAAGATTAAAAAGGGAGAATTTTGTTGTTCAGATTTTAACACTTCTTCAATGCATTGCAAATGCCTGTATAAATATGTGTGTATTATATATACTATCATACAAAAATCCGGTCTCTAATGCCTCAGCAAGGCTGCATTTATTTGATAAAAATACAGTAAAAACAGTAATATTGATAAATATTATTACAATTAAAAATACCTATTAACCTGTTAATTTGATATAATAATAAATGTGTGTGTACATTATATTATATTATTTTTTGTACATTATATAATATATTAATATAATTTAACATTTTAATGTATTCTTGTGATGGCAGGAAAATACACATTTCTGTTATAATTATTGCATGTCAAAACCAACTTGTCACTTAACATGCAAATAAAAAAAATGAAAAGACCTTTTACAATAATGTTAACTATAGTTTGCTGAGAATGCAATGTGTACTTCTGCATCACTCCATGTTGTTTTGACTAGCAAATGCCTCCAGTTACTATGCTCTTGGTTTAGAAGTTCCCTGAGCTCTTGAACTGCCTTGATATCTTGTTATTCTCACCATTACGTGACCAGTGAACCTACGCTGGATAGTTTGGAAGAAGTCAAAACCTCTTCAGCATACCAGACAGTCTATTAAGTCTCATTGTTGAAGCATGTCTAGCACAAACATTGCCCTCATGATTACATGTGCTGTGTTTCAGAATCCGCACAAATTCTTTCCCGAGGAGCGTTTTGGAGACGAGAGTCCCGTCCTGGCCTTGCGCCAGTCAGGTCGCTGCCGGGTCAACAGTACACCAGCTGTGGAGAGCATGTTCACTGACCTGGAGGCTCTGGTGGGCTTCCACCCCCCTCTGCCACCTCCTCCTCCACCCTATCATCCCCCGACCACCCCGGGCCATAGCCAGCAGCAGTATAAAACGGGCTGGAGACCTCGGGTCCCCACCCAACCTCCCTCCAGATCTTTCTCCTACCCCTGCAATCATGCACTCCTTCACAGGCAGCCCTCTTCAAAGATGGGCAGCCCAGTCTACCCACCAGGAGCCAAGCCCCTGCCCCCAGACTGCACTAATGCACAGGGGGGGAGAAATCTTCATCCTGACAAGAAAATGGTGATTAATACCAATATATTATTCTAATTATTAGGGCTGAACGAAATGACCTAAAATCAAAATCTCAATTAATCTCAAAACATTTTACCTCGATGACAATTAATGAACGATTATTTTATTTTATTTTATTTTATTTTTTGCACTCATAGTTCATTAAAGTTTTTCTACTGTAAATATACTCAACTATTAAAGGTAGGATTTTATTTTCTAATGAAATGATCTTTGTGATAGACTTGTGCCGGTATTCGGTAATGCGATATATCACGGTAATGAATATGCACAATATTGTTGATTTTAAAATAATTGAAGGAAAAACTATTTATGGTTATTGCATATATTATAAATATTGTATATTATATTATATCATACTATATGGTATTTTTTGCTAACAAAATAAATGAATATTGGCATGTCAAAAGTAGAAAATAAAAAAAGCGCAGCACAGAATACCTACTCCGCCACGTTGCCGTCAAATACAAAAGTGGCCATGCCAACCTGCCACTGTAAACAAAAGCTTGCAACACTTGCCCCGCCTCCGGGGTCTTCTGATAGACCCTTTTCACATTTCTGGGTTTCTCAGCAGCGGAAGTCATCATAGTTGGGTTAACTTCAGAAGCAGTGATTGGGAGAGGACCACAAAAATATTTTGGCATTCCCATTTGCTCACATAGCTAAAGGAAAACTCCACGATAGTGTTTTCATGACTTTAAAAAAAAAAAAGGAAAAAAAAATTGAGAGAGACTGCTAACGGCAGTCAGAAGAGAGAATAATGTCAAATTTACTGTCCCTCCCATAGACGCTGCATTAGAAACACTCTCGCATTAGCATCAACTAGTTTTTTTGTAATTTGATGCAAAGGTTATATAATACAAAGTATAGTGTTATAAATGTACATTTTTTAAAAAGAATTAAAATATAAAAACTATACGATGCTGATGACCATTGAAACGTGTCAAGTGAATTTAGGCATTACAGCAATATAATGTACAGTATGAAAAATGGGTTTCCATTGTGAGCTTTGCTAATGTATATCCTCTAATTTATTCTTGCAGAACATGGAGCCTGTTATCAACGAGTTCATGCCAGACATCGCCATGGGTGTTTCGGCAATGAGCCTGAAGGAGCGGCGCCTTCCTGAGGTCTCCATGGAGTTGGAGAGTCACGAAGCCCACCCTCACCTTTCTACAGCTCCTCCCATGTCCCACAGCTACTCCAGTCGTCACCCGCACTCCTCCCGCAAGCGGCACGCAGCCGAACCCAAGCCTGAGGGCCCGCAGCCTGACTTCCCGTGTTATAAATGTACATTTTTTTAAAAGAATTAAAATATAAAAACTATACGATGCTGATGACCATTGAAACGCGTCAAGTGAATTTAGGCATTACAGCAATATAATGTACAGTATGAAAAATGGGTTTCCATTGTGAGCTTTGCTAATGTATATCCTCTAATTTATTCTTGCAGAACATGGAGCCTGTTATCAACGAGTTCATGCCAGACATCGCCATGGGTGTTTCGGCAATGAGCCTGAAGGAGCGGCGCCTTCCTGAGGTCTCCATGGAGTTGGAGAGTCACGAAGCCCACCCTCACCTTTCTACAGCTCCTCCCATGTCCCACAGCTACTCCAGTCGTCACCCGCACTCCTCCCGCAAGCGGCACGCAGCCGAACCCAAGCCTGAGGGCCCACAGCCTGACTTCCCAGATCTCTACGAGTTCCCAGGCCGTCGTGTGCCTCCCTACAGCGGACCGGACCTCTATATCCACGGCCGTCAGGCAGGTGGTGGAGCGCCACCTCCGTCCTACTCCGAGGCTTCAGAATCCCTCCGCCTGGATGTGCTGGAACAGCCTCCGCAGAGACTAGACTTGGCAATCGTCTCGCAAGGGGGCGTTGCACAAGCCGTGCAGAGGTCATGGCCCATAAACGAGACGGACCTCACCTGTGGGCTTGGCCCCTCCACAGAACAGTATGAGGAATGGCCCACGGGCCGCCGGCCTGCTCCAGAAGGAATGGGGCTGGGCTTAGGGGCTAACGTTGGGTCTGGGGACGAGGGGGGCTTGGGTGCTCGAGACCGCAGGTCACCCAGCAAACCCGAATACCCCTACAGGAAGTCTGCTCTCTGACCCCTGATTAAAAAGAGACTGACGACTGATTTAAATGCTAAGTGTAAGCTAACAGGTGAGGCACCAGCAGTCCTGCACTTCGTGTTCTTTTGAGGGCCGACAGTATCTTGAAGTGATGAACGCCCATAAGCTGCGCGAGTGGCTGCTTTTCTGAAGGCTAAAGGGAGATCTGGATAGGTTTGAAACCCAGTGAGGAGAGCTTGGTTTGGTTGTGTGCACCCTGAAAAGAGGTCAAAAATGCAAAATATTTTAATCTGAGAGATCCTTAGATTTATGTACAGGATATTAATGTACAAGTATCACAGTGTATTTCTTTTACTTTCATTTTCCTGAACAAACTATGTTGACTGGAGAAATATACATTCTATATGCATTTCGTTTCTTTGGAGTAAATTGGAAAAATATGAAGGCAATAAGTTGCAAACTCATTACTTTGTCTAGTCCTTGACAAACGGCTCCTTCTTCTTTTAAGGGCAGAGTGGCAGTAATAGCTCATGTAATCTGCCGCATACGCCGGCTTTTACATTAGCCTGTGCAATTTAAGAACCGAGATGGAACATAAAAGGGAAAACAAATGAAATCCCCTGTCTCCTATGAGGCAACTTATCAGGCATAACAATGGCACAGATGCACCATTAAATGTGAATAGGGCTTTGTTTTAGCGTGTTTCACAACACAGATCTGCAGATTCATTCCACTATATTTAACTTTAAAAACTATCTGTTCTCTCAAACAAAAATTTGGCATCCTCTTTTGCATTCAGATTCTCATTCCAAGGCTGCAGTTGGTGGCATTCCTGAGAGATGGCAAAAATGGGTTGATCATTATCAGCCACGTTCTCCAGAACTGTACAGGATGCTCAACCAAACCAACCTCACGCCACATCCTCAGTCCTCTGGTTCAGTAGGACGGCAGCAGCCCATGGTCGGGAGTTCATTAGCTTTTCTGTGCTAGTTCTGTCAGCAACAATTATGATGTCATGAACAGGCTTTGCAAAAAAGAGAATTCTTGGAAGTGTCATGGATTTAGACACAAGTATTTACTTTTGATTTGCTACACAACACTTTAAGAAACAATATCATACACACTGCTGCAAACCCTACCTATAGATGAAGTGACTTATTTTAAGCTCGTTTTTTAGCATCCGAAATACCTGTATTCTTAAATAACTGTGCAATAGTGCAGCTTTTTCATTTTAAATATTCATTTTGCTTTCTTCTCCTTACAATAAAAACCTTTCTCAGATAATACTGGCACGGTAAATATGCAGGCTAGTTCACTCAAAAATGCAAATTGTGTCCTCATTTACTCAACATCATGTCGTTCCAAACCTGTGTAACTTTTTCTCTCTCTGTAGAACACAGAAGATATTTTGAAGAACTGTTTTTGTCCATACAATCAAAGTCTGAGGTCCAACGACATCAACATTTGACCCCATTGACTTTCACTGTGGACCAAAAAACCTTTAGACATTCTTCAAAATATCTTTTTTGTGTTCTGCAGAAAGAAAATGTATCCTACAGATTTGAAACTACAACAGGGTTAGTGAATGAAGAAGGAATTTTCATTTTGGGGGAACTATCCCTTTAAGATAATCAACAATAGCCTTTCCCCACAAGCGATGATGGTACTGTATTCTCACATGCTCTCAAATGTTATTATATAAGAATCTCATGTTGTATTCGACCGGATGGGACCTCTGTTGAATATCCGAACGATCCTCAGCTGTATCCATCCCACATTCTTCACTTCAAGTGCTTCTTTCTTTGGAGCACAAGAAGCGTTGTATTGGTTGAAACCACAACATTGTGAGAAATACTAAGAATGTCATTTCATTTCGTCAGATAAAAGTGCTCAGACAGTTTATACGCTGGTAAAAGGCTCGAGTTTCAGTTGGATGGTCGATCAGATTTTATTTATTTTTGACAGTTAAGAACCCACAGTTAGACCAAAGATGAGTTTGGGAGGATGTTTGTGTTGCTTGGTGAATCCCGGAAGCATTTTATTTTATCTACCAGGTTTCTTTGCCTCTTAGCAAGTTGAACTGAAACCATTGGGTTGAGATTCATGTTTGTTACGCAAGACTCTGTGGTGACTGTGACCATCGAAGGAGCATACGCCGGCTTTTACATTAGCCTGTGCAATTTAAGAACCGAGATGGAACATAAAAGGGAAAACAAATGAAATCCCCTGTCTCCTATGAGGCAACTTATCAGGCATAACAATGGCACAGATGCACCATTAAATGTGAATAGGGCTTTGTTTTAGCGTGTTTCACAACACAGATCTGCAGATTCATTCCACTATATTTAACTTTAAAAACTATCTGTTCTCTCAAACAAAAATTTGGCATCCTCTTTTGCATTCAGATTCTCATTCCAAGGCTGCAGTTGGTGGCATTCCTGAGAGATGGCAAAAATGGGTTGATCATTATCAGCCACGTTCTCCAGAACTGTACAGGATGCTCAACCAAACCAACCTCACGCCACATCCTCAGTCCTCTGGTTCAGTAGGACGGCAGCAGCCCATGGTCGGGAGTTCATTAGCTTTTCTGTGCTAGTTCTGTCAGCAACAATTATGATGTCATGAACAGGCTTTGCAAAAAAGAGAATTCTTGGAAGTGTCATGGATTTAGACACAAGTATTTACTTTTGATTTGCTACACAACACTTTAAGAAACAATATCATACACACTGCTGCAAACCCTACCTATAGATGAAGTGACTTATTTTAAGCTCGTTTTTTAGCATCCGAAATACCTGTATTCTTAAATAACTGTGCAATAGTGCAGCTTTTTCATTTTAAATATTCATTTTGCTTTCTTCTCCTTACAATAAAAACCTTTCTCAGATAATACTGGCACGGTAAATATGCAGGCTAGTTCACTCAAAAATGCAAATTGTGTCCTCATTTACTCAACATCATGTCGTTCCAAACCTGTGTAACTTTTTCTCTCTCTGTAGAACACAGAAGATATTTTGAAGAACTGTTTTTGTCCATACAATCAAAGTCTGAGGTCCAACGACATCAACATTTGACCCCATTGACTTTCACCGTGGACCAAAAAACCTTTAGACATTCTTCAAAATATCTTTTTTGTGTTCTGCAGAAAGAAAATGTATCCTACAGATTTGAAACTACAACAGGGTTAGTGAATGAAGAAGGAATTTTCATTTTGGGGGAACTATCCCTTTAAGATAATCAACAATAGCCTTTCCCCACAAGCGATGATGGTACTGTATTCTCACATGCTCTCAAATGTTATTATATAAGAATCTCATGTTGTATTCGACCGGATGGGACCTCTGTTGAATATCCGAACGATCCTCAGCTGTATCCATCCCACATTCTTCACTTCAAGTGCTTCTTTCTTTGGAGCACAAGAAGCGTTGTATTGGTTGAAACCACAACATTGTGAGAAATACTAAGAATGTCATTTCATTTCGTCAGATAAAAGTGCTCAGACAGTTTATACGCTGGTAAAAGGCTCGAGTTTCAGTTGGATGGTCGATCAGATTTTATTTATTTTTGACAGTTAAGAACCCACAGTTAGACCAAAGATGAGTTTGGGAGGATGTTTGTGTTGCTTGGTGAATCCCGGAAGCATTTTATTTTATCTGCCAGGTTTCTTTGCCTCTTAGCAAGTTGAACTGAAACCATTGGGTTGAGATTCATGTTTGTTACTCAAGACTCTTTGGTGACTGTGACCATCGAAGGAACATTTATCATCGATTGATTTTTATGGATCTCTCCCCAGGCACTTTGACTTACAGAGATGGCCTTAAAAGAGTTGATGTAGGGTTAGTACTGCTGTATACCTGTAGTTACAGCCTTAAGACCTTACCTTGGCTAACGCAGTTCTCCATCTTAAATCGCATACGGTCTTCTGTGCCAGAGAGACTCTCTACCTCTGAACAGCTCCTCTCAACATATTTCAGTCAATTCGATTTTCCTTCTTTATATTCTTTTCAACTTATTCAGACCTCTTGAGCCTCACCTTGAACATTTATCATTGGGGGACCAGAACCAACAGCTGGAAATCAGATTTTCACCACTTTCTTACATTTTTCTTTTCTTTACACTTGTTGTTTTATTAGAACTTAACAGCGCAGTTAAGATATGAGGACAGCGTCATCTTGCATAATAATTAACTCAATCTACAGTTATCACAGGTGTTATTCTTCATCTAGTCTTGGTTGTTCTTCAGAATTGTTAGTTGCCTGATGCAGTTGCAGTGCAACGAACGGGTCCTCCTGGACTCCTACTACAGCCCACCTCTGAGTCAAGCCTGAAAGAGTCATGAACCCTGAGTGGGAGAGCTCCAGTTTGCCATCCCGCGAAGCTTCAGAGGGTCAGATCCAAAAATAGATCCAACGTAGACCCTAGCTGGGGTGCAAGTGATCTCCTCAGAGAGTTAAAGTCATCTGAATCGAGCTGAGATTGGTAGGAGGCTGTTTGTCTCCTTTGAATGTCAAGGACATAGCTCTGCGGTTCTCTTTGCATCAGGCTTATCTGATACATGAAGATCTTCAGTCCCTGGTGCAAATGGTTCAGCCTTTCCTTTGGCGTATAACAAACTTGATAATACATCATGAGATTGAGCTTTCAGTATCTGTGGTTCTTTCAAAATGCAATGCATCGCAGCCTACTTAAGCCTACCTTCCCTGACCTCATTCCGCAGCAAAAAGAGGACGAGTGAAGCGATTTACTAACCACATTTATTCAGAATAAAAAGATATTTTGTTTCACAGAGCAGGTGTTTCACTCAAACTTCATTTTACCTTGCAGATCCTCCAGGTTTCATGTCAGCACGACAACAACGAATCAATGCACCTGTCACGCGACTTGTTTTACCACCAGCTCACACGTTCTTCTTTTGTGTCGGAAGCTCTTGTCAAAAGTGCAGTCATTTAAATTCTCAGTGTTGCGACTTTGCAACTCCAGCCTTCTGTACCAATAGCATTTTGAATTGGGTCATCTGACGAGCAAGACCTTTCGGTATGTTCTTTTTCCTTCTGTTTTTTATTTCCTGTTTTTATGTAACAGTTGCATGTTAGTTCTGATTTTCCTGTTACCTGTAACTCCAAGCATTGAGTAATTGGCATCAGCACTTCCCTTCGAGGCAGCCGAGAGGAGATCTGAGGTCTGTCATGTCATTCTAGCGAATCGCACTGGCTGCATCAAACCATGACCCAAAATCGACAGATGGATATTTAGGCCTACTGCTGCTACTCAAGAGGTTTTCCTGCCAGTGGAGAACATTATTTCTTGACGTCAATGCCGATCCCAGCGATCTAGTCCCATATAGACCCAGCCATGCCTTAAACTTAAGGGGGAGGTTAGGAAAACTCCTTGGATCGCCTTCGCCTCTGCTATACTCAGGCCATTTTGAACTGCTAAGAAGTCATTTATTTCATGCTATAAAACACCGATCAGATCGTTTTGATTGCTGCAAAAGTCAATGCACAGTTTGAAGGTATTATTTTGTATTTGAGATGCACACTGACCTCATAATGAATACATTTCTATCACAAATGCCATTTGTGGTCATTTGGGTTTTGTGGGTTGCTTGCCTGAGAGACTGTTAGGGAATGAATTGGAAATGCATTTGAGCTCCCAGATGAGGAGCTTGAATCATTGTTTAGTCTGTCCTGTAGAACTCAACTGGCATGTAGTTTGACATAAATTTTTCATGGCTTAAGAATAATGGGTTCGTTTTGGGTGGAAATAAATTGGGCTACTATACTTAAACCGAGGAGTAAAAGCTAGAACAGATGAAGGTACCCATTGCACTAAATTTTTGATGGTGATATGTGTAACGTTTGTTGTGGAATAGCGCCCTCTGTTGGCTCTATTGGTTTATTTTGACTGAAACGTCTGTTTATTCAGTTTTAGATTCACAGCTGAGTCATTTGTCTTCAACATTCATTCCTAATCCTTTTAGTATATTTGCATGCCATTGCGTTATTTATCTCCAAAGTGCCGCAAGGCTGAACTGAACTGAAGGTTTGTGTTTTGGATGTGTGAGGGGCAAGGGAAGTTGTGTTTGCAGACTTTAAGTCGAGATTTCCAGGTTCTCTCTTGTGCTATCTCTCTTACGGAGACGATTTAGTGCCTTCCCTGCCTGAGGCTGGGCTTCCTCCACACCCCTTTTGTCTTATGCAAGCCCTTTCTACAAACCTCTGTTAAACCGTCTCTTTGTAATACTGTAGCCAACGCTTAGTGTGCATAATGTTTAATTTGTCTTTTTTTTTTTTTCTTCAAAAGATATTTTTCAAGATTTTTGTTACCTTTGATCACAGGCCTCAGAAATATGGTGTTTTGTTGTATGTAAAATGTAAAGTTTTTTAGAAATATATATAAAACATGCGAATATCTATTTGAGTGTGTGTGTGTGTGTGCGCGCATATATTTGTGTATATATACACGCACACATACAAAAAAAAAAAAGCAGCATTCTTTTGTGGAGTTGTGGAAAGTGTCTATTTTTCTATTCTTTTCTTTGGCCGGTGTAGTTATGAACTTTACTCTGCAATTAGGTGACTAATGTCTTGGAAATAAATAGTTTTGAGTTATAATGATTGTGTGTGTGTTTTGTTGTTTGTTTGATTTCATTCATTCAAGCTGCCGGATGAGCAGCGAGTAACACCTTGCCATTAGTGGTAAATGGAAGAGGGAAACACAGAGCGTCTCACTAATCACACAATTTGCATAGAAACACTAGGCGCGTTTCCATTGCTCTTCAAATTGCGCAAATTGAAATTGCGAATTGAAAATACGCTTAATGGAAACGCGTCAATTTCGCAAAAACTCCCATATATCGCAAAAAAGTTTTTACGCTAGCATGAGGTGGTTTTTCAGGCAATGTGAAAAAGGAATAATTCGCAAAACTGCAATGGAAACGGCTTTTTCGCATTTACAGGTCACATGGCGTAGCCTATGTAAAAAGTCATGATCATTCTCCAATGTACTATAACCTCCAAGAAACACTTCATACGTGGCCGCGCTCCAGTATAAGGGGCTTTCCCTACCATTAATGCTTAGACAATTTACACTGCACACGTCTGCGGTGCAGTGTGGCTCTGATACGGCCACTGAAGCTGATTTTATCGCGAGAGGCAAAAGGTTACGTTTTAGTCGCATAACATTGGTTAATGGAAACGCCGTCATTTCGCAATACTTTTTTATCTACATTTATAAAATATCGCCAAAGTTTTGCGCAAATCTGTAATGGAAACGCGCCTACTGTCATGCAGAAATCACGATTCGGTTCCCACCGAAATGTAATTGAATTTAAAACCAACTGAAACAATGCATATGCAAAATCACACAAGCCTAGAGGCTTAAAAGTCATTTATTAAACTACTTAAGGTATAGATAGATGGATGGATAGAATGTGGAAAGCCCTTATGGATATTGTTTGGGCCTGTTTATGTAAATTACTAGCTGCAGGCTTCATGACATGCCTAATGATACCCTTAAAGGTGCAATAGGTGATTGTCTTCAGAAACATTTTTTGTTATGCTGGTTGAAAGTCTCTTCACATCCCGATAGCAATCATTAAGTTAAGTGGTCTAAATGTATTTGTCTGTATTTATATATTCTGTGGAAGGCGTAGGATCAGGAAATGTTTGTCCAATCAAAACGCTCGGACCGAGCGTTTTAATATGCTTTCCTACCTGCCTGTCAACGTATGTATTAGCATACCTCTGCGCACCGGGTTCGCGCAGACAGGATACGTCAGGCAATGGCAGACAAACATAAACAACCCGATCTTCCTTCCTGGTATAGTACTTTAAAAGTTTTCTCACCGGTGAGTGACACATGATGTAGCCCAGCGGTTAATCCAGTCCTCGCGCCAGCTCGTTAAAAGAGAGCTACGTGCATGAACTGTGTTGAAGTGAGCTACGTGCATGAACTGTGTTCCGATCGATATGATCCCTACACAGTGTTCATTGCTCCCTATTCCCTGAGCAGGGGAAATCCGTTGAAGTTTACCTCACTTCGGAACATGCGTTGGAATTGGGAATCGCTGATGTACCCTATTGTAGTAATGTTGTCTCTGGTATTCTGGTCTGTGAGCGTAAATGCGTTCAGGGGCCGTGGCTTTGGACGGCGATTGCAGGGAGGGTGGGACGTTCGCTTTCAGTGCTATCAGGCTAAAGTCAGCATTTTCCAAGATCTCCTACTGCACCTTTAAATTGGGACTGAAATCATATACTACTTTTTTAAAAATTAAATTAAAGTTTTTAAGTCTAGTAGCCTTGGTCAGTTTTTCGCCCACTGCAATGGTGTGCAAAGCTTTGCCAGTTATTAACAGAACTCAATTTATATAAGTTACTGAACTAATGAAATATAAACACTGAAACAATTTCTCCCCAATGGGGTGTTCTTGGGATAAACAAAGAGTGTTCTTGGGTGTTCTTGTTCTTGGGATAAAAGACATACATCACAGGGCCCAAATGTATTACCATGTTTATTTCTCAAAGATAGGACATTAAAAAGTAACAGAATCTACAAACAAAACAGGTTAAAACAAGATAAAATGAATAAAGCGTTACTAGACAATTCACAATTGTAACTGAACAACCTGAAAAAGCACTTGTGTAGGTTTATCTAAACAGCTTTTTCCAATAGGCTGTAGATCCATTTACCCTGACATACATGAATGTGAATATTTGCTGTCTCATCAGAAAAGAATGAATACTGACTGCAGTCATGTATGTGATTGTGACTTCCCTAATAGCCTTCTGTAAATACCGGCACCATTTTAAATTGCTTAAAAGAGAGAGCTCCTGAGGATTGACTGCAATACCTATTTATGACATTATAGATCTTTTCCATAAATCCATTGTTTTTAATCTTTCCATAATGCATCTTGGAGCCAATCGACATGTTGATTTGAAATGGCAGGATTACAAGAAAAAAATTACAGTTACATCTTTGGAAACACAGATTCTGTCATGCATCACTATACAAGGTCAAAATCATACAAGATTATGAGGGCCTGAATTTGAACTGCATATTTATTTTACAAAACCAGGGGTGGCCTTGAAATGAACAGATTGGGGGGGGAAACCGTGAAGGATTGGATGTAGCTGGTATGCTTGAAGTGGCAGGGTGAAGGGCAGTTTAACTGCAGTAGTACTGGCCTGCATTGGCTCTTCGTCTCTTGCGGCTTTGCTGCTGTTCAAAGAAATGACGGATGTCCTCAGGTGTCACCACCTAAACAAGGAGAGGAGAAGAAAATGAACACTAGACACTACAAGCTTACATTCAACTAAACCACACATGAAAAAAAACGCGCACACACACACACAAACGAAAACCTACTTTTCCTTCCGCTGCAAATCGCTGCAGGTAGTCCTTCAGCTCGGTCTTCATGTCATTATATTCTGAGGGAAAATTAAATGTCAACATCACAGTTGAGCAGTTACATTTGAAATCTCTTGTCAATCAGAAAACAAATTAGTTTTGCTTTCACACAGATAAGGATGTTAGTACCATTTAACTCTACTAACCATGGATAATCTCCAGCTGCTGAACCCGATTTAAGTTGTTTAGGGCCGACATCAAGGGGTCACGACCCTCAGCTCCTCCTGCTTGTTCAGCCTGCATTGTAGACTTGCCCTTGTTTTCATACGCCAGGACAGTGTCCATCTCGTCCATAAGGAAAGACACTCCTGCATCTGTATAGAGGACCTAAGCAAAGAAAGCAAAACATGAGACCAGAAACAATGTTGTTTTTTCATGTTTATTGTGTTTGAATGATACAGAATCACTCTGTTAAAGGATTAGTTTACTCACCCCCATGCCCAGAGCCGATCCTCCCTATACGCAAAATACACAAGCTGCGTGGAGGCCCCCTTGCTCTCAAAGATGATTTAATTTTAGTTTTGTTTTTGAATTTGGCCAGCGGTTATTAAAGCATGAATGTTCATTTCTTTTAATGCGGTGCGCTGTCGCCCTTTCTACGTAAAAATCAGTCAAATCATGTAATGTGAATGTCGTGCAGTCTAGCTCAAGTTTAAAAAAACGAGTTGAAAGCGTACCGAGAGACACTGTTTCTCAAGCACTTTCCGCGAGCACGATTCGAGACGGAGTGAAACACGGACAAATGGTTGTCGGTGTCCTTAATGTTAATCCAAGAAAAAAAGAGAGAGAAAACCACTCACTGCTCTTGACCGAATAACCACTTTAGCTTTAAAAACAATGAATCTATATTTAATTTATACACTGATGACTATGCAGCATTATTTTACATTTAATTATTCAATATCTGACCCTGAACACCTACAAACCTTAAAAAAAAAAAAAAAATTTAAAAAACATTTGCATTAGCTCTGCGATGCGCATGCGTGATTTCACGCATTACGTAATTATGTAGGAAAGGTCCGGCATGGTTAGTTCTTCATCTGTGTACTCCGTTCAAAAAGGTAGGGTAGGGTGAAAAACTCCATCTCATTTTCTCCTCTAACTTCAAAATCATCCGACATCGTTGTTTTACCTTTTTTGTACGCCGTTTGACTTTCTTTACACGTTCGCTTTGTAAACACTGAGTCGGTACTTCCGCCTATGTCACGCGTGATCTTTTCATCGTGACTAATGTGTGAGGTCAGGCTGGTGCAAGGTGAGCATTTGTGGTTAAAAAGTATAATTTTTTTTTTTTTTAAATGACTGATCGTTTCGCTAGATAAGACCCTTATTCCTCGGCTGGGATCATGTAGAGCCCTTTGAAGCAGCATTGAAACTGCAATTTGGACCTTCAACCCATTGGCTCCCACTGAAGTCCACTATATTGAAAAATTCCGGAAGTCAACCCTAGTGAAAAAAAAGTATACTTTATTGTATTTGTAATATATTACCTGTTTTAATAGTACATTGCAAATATACTAACAAAAAATTTACTATCTTTAAATATATAAAAAGTATATTAGCATCATGCTTTTGTCTATTTTCACAATACAACTTTTAAATTTAATTGATGTGTTTTAGTGTTATGCGAGATGTAAACCATCACTTTCTGAAAGTTTTTTTTTTTAAGTACATTTCTTCATTTTTGGATTAATTGCTATTTTTGCAAATGTAGCCGCACAAATGTGTCTTCTGAAGCAGTACAATATTTTGGAATAATTTAAATCTGAACATTGATCAACTCATGCATACACGGCTCAGACAAATACTGGTTCTTTCACACCACATGAATTACATCATGATATCCAAGCATCAGTGATGTTTGATGTAATGTAGTGTATATACTTAGCATTTTTTTTTTTCACTAGGGAACTAATCCTTTAAACCAGGGTAAAAGCAGTATTATGTAGTAAATCTCCTCTGTAAAGTGTGTTTGAGCTGTACCTTGCAGTCGGAGCAGGTGCAGAGTTTTGTGCGCCAGGCAGACAGCCAGAACACAGCGCCCTGCAGAGTCCGGCTCCTCCCCGAGGCCTTCATCTCTCTCAGCCTACAACCTGAGCACGAACCCTTCTCTGAGGAGCCTTCAGGTTCTTCCTGGTGTTTCCGCTTACAGGCGGATGTCCCGTTGACCTGCACCTGACGGCAAAGAGAAGGTCACCAAATCCTGATCACTGATTCCTCTCTTCCTGTGTAGATTGTTAAAATCATTTCTCATTCATACAGCTGAGTTGGCATTCTTGCTAACAGCAACAAAACAATGTGGTGCAAATTCAGTTTAGCTCGATATCTGCAAATTACAGCTTAATTGAGACAAATGAAGCATAAGAGATGAACCAATTCCCCAATGAAAAGTCTTTCAGACATGCATCATCTAACAGAACTACTGCCACCTTGTGGTGAGACTTCAAAACAAAGGCATATCTGTGTCTAAAAACAGCTAAATGCATCGTGCCTTAAAACACTTATTCATTGAATACAAGTAGGAGATTTAAGTTTAGCTGTCCACAATAAAATGGACTGGACAGGAATGAATTGAATTAAAAATGCCATGTCATGTTTCATCCTCCTATTTAGAGACAAGAAAACAGACACATTACAGCAAACAGCAAGTACCTTCTCATCAACAGGGCTCCTAGGGTTCTCATTTTTAATTTTCTTCTCCTCTTCATCATTTTCTACCTCCACCTTCACATCCTCCTCTCCTTTGCATGGACTTACTTTTGTCATGGGTGGCACTGATGCAAACAAGACATAATAAACCTTCACAAATTTATAATTGTTGTAAACACTGTAAATAGCTTTACTGTCACTTTTGATCAGTTTAATGTGTCCTGGCTGATACATTCATTTCTCTCTTTTTAAAGAGAACTTTGCACTCGTTTTCATACTAAATTATCTATAAATGCAAAACGAAAGCAGAAAAATGTATACAACAACATTACCTGCAATATGTGCAGCATAGTTCCAAAGGAAAGGTGTTTTATTCATGCACGACTCGCAGATCATCTCTTGCAGCTCCACACAGTCTGGCACTACGCAGCCTAAATGCTGAGAGAAACACAGAGATGTTCTCAAACATTTCAACCTGAATGCATTCTGCTCCTCATCTACACACACAAAGAACACTAAACCATGTTCATGTCCTGCCCGACTGCAATCTGATTTGATACTAACCCGACCATGGAACCAGTCCTCACACACAATACACTGGATCATCTCATCTGGAACCTGAAGAGAGAACATGGTTCATATATGCATGTGATCTACTCAATGTAATATAATAAAAGCACTCTAAACATCCAAACACAATACACATCTGAATACGGATTCATAATTAAAAACTTTATTTGCAATGCAACATACAATAACAGAATAATAGAACATTATTATAGAATGCAACTCAATCTAAAGCGCACATTACCTCATCCTCTGGATCTGGGTAGGGTCTGTCACATGTGCAATACAAGCCAAAAAAATTATGGCTGTATTTGTTCCCTGAATTCACTTTCTCTTTATCCTGTATAACAGAAATCCATCAGATTAGAAAAGTCCAACTAAAACGCAAAGACACAAATTCAAACTAACAGCAAAACGTATCTTACCGCAAATAGCTTGCACTCCATTTCCCCAAACTTGTCGTTTCCACAATCGCATCGAAAATTCCTGTATTATCAATAAGGTTTTGAGTGCAGCTTACTCGTAACATATCACAATGCCTCAGCAAGCACAATTTAAAGTAGGATCTGTGTGTAATTCAATCCAAGCCATCTAAAAACACTGATGCCTATAGTTTTCTTGCCTCCAGATCTCCATGTGGAAATTTCTTCACATTAAAATTATGTTTTATGTGACGGTTCTCATTAGGGCTGTCAAAAAAAAAATCGAATTTCGAATATTAGTCGAATTTAAAATAAAAATCCACATTCGAATGCAAAAACGTTGCATTGGCGCACGAGTTGCAATGACGATGTAAGTGTCGTTGCATTATAATGTTTTTGTTAGCCTATCCAGTTGAAGCGACTAGATGCGGCGCTGCTGCGTTGTTATTAAAAACATTGCGGAAAAAGAGAACATCGATGTGGAGAAGATCTTGTTTACATCAAAACTGAAACCAGGCCGTTCACACAGAACACGTATTTCGCGCATTTTCTAGAGGGACATCTATTACTATCACACAAAGGAGCCGCATGTTTAGAAAGCCATGTAAAATTAATGCAAGTTTAACTTTGAAAAAAAACATATATCGAGACTCATTATGCACTTTTGTTCACAGATAGTCGTTATCTTATGCTTTAAATAAATGTGCATTAGTAATATTTTGCTCGATGCGCCCTCTTGTGACCTCAGAAAAAATGCCAAAAGCAAACCTTCACCATAACTGAAATTATGCATTTTAAATTTGAATATAATTCGAATTTTGATCATATTTAAGTACAAAATTCGAATTTAGTTTTTCAGCCATTTTGACAGCCCTAGTTCTCATTCAAGTCTTCACTCTCATTGCCTATGATGCAGCTAGTGCAAATACATCAAGGAAAAACAGCTAAGTAATTCCTCTGTCATACTGTCAAAAATATATTAATACACATTAGGCAAAATAGTTTGCAAAATGCACATGGAACCCCTTCAGCAAACTATCAAACAATAAATGTCAGATCCAATTAGGCTCTGCTTAAATGGGTTAGAGCAGCAGCAAATGTACCTTCGAACATAGTATAATGGCTTCAGTGGTTATTTTAGATGGACTGCGGAAATATTCACCTCTTGGTATATAGCTCAAAAAGGTCATGGCCTTCATGGCACTTGTAGGAGCATGCCAGACAGATGCCAGCTGGCTCTCCTCCCTTTGGTGTGCAGGTGTTGCAGGCATACAGAGCCTGACGCTTCACATATCCCTGTCAGGACAAAAAAAATCACCTGGTTTTCAGAACATATAACTTATTTTCATTTGAAAATGGTAATGTAAATACAGAGCATTTGCTGACAACTACTGTTAAAGTCATCTTGCTATTATCTGTTATTGCAATAAGGTTTATTTCCAACAAATAGACGCAGCATCGACGCATTATTGATGATGTTTTGTGCTAAACCCAAATCAAAACAATCCTACAAACATTTTGCAAGAATTATGTTGAACACCAAGATGAAATAGGCTGTGTCAAGGTATGATCCGCCTGCTAAAAACGGATTATTTGAAAAGTCTGCGTTTACATAAAGACGTCAAACCTCTGGATACGAGCATTTCTCTGAATCACTCCCTCCAAGAACAGCGGAGGCTTCGTTCTCCAGTTCTTCATCCTCCTCTAAGACGTCCACCAGAGATACAGTAGCCTCCTCCTCTCCAACATTTGCCGCCATCCTTGCAGAGACGAGCGCAAAAAAATGTTTCTAGTTCCTGTTCCAGGGCACGAACCGAGACAGGAACTAACTGAACGGTCAGCAAGATCACGCTTTACTGGAGACAGTGGGTCCTCTGTTATAGAACTAAACGAAAGATGTAGGAAAGTGTAATGCAATTTGACATTACCCGAACATATTCTCGTGATTAACTGTGACAATAACAAAACCAACGCTGCTTCCGGTTTATGCAAATACAAGATGTTTTGGCGGGAGAGTTGCTGGAGTTGTAAATAGAATTTATTATTTTTAGGGCTCTTTTTTCTGACTGTATTCATACATCACACCCATATTAACTCAATGATTCTGAATAAACAGAAAAAATAGGAATTTTCGCAAAGCTAATTTGATAGATCAGAGTTCAAAGAGTAGATCAGTGTTGCCATGTCCACTCATTATATATTATTATAAATAGTGTCACTTACTCATACGGTTTTTTTAATATGTGTATATATATTATATATATATTTAAACATTCTTCAGTTGTCACATTTTTACATGGTTATGTTCATGTTTATGCTTATGTCTGCATTTTGTTCATTGTTAATATTGTTAATTTGCTGCCTGTTGCAGTTATTTAATGACCAGTTCTATCTATGAAATAATCAGAGTTCAAAGGGTAGATCAGTGTTGCCATGTCCACTCATTATATATTATTATAAATAGTGTCACTTACTCATACGGTTTTTTAAATATGTGTATATATATTATATATATATATTTAAACATTCTTCAGTTGTCACATTTTTACATGGTTATGTTCATGTTTATGCTTATGTCTGCATTTTGTTCATTGTTAATATTGTTAATTTGCTGCCTGTTGCAGTTATTTAATGACCAGTTCTATATTTGAAATATTTTAGCTATTTTTTGTAAAATGATGTAATTACTGATAATAATATTTTGAGGGATGTTGTAGTTTAGCCTGTAGTGTAATCTATTCTATTCTATTTCATAAATAATTTTTTGAGATTTCAAGTTTTTTCTATTTCATTTTAGACAGTCCATTTTGCGTGGTTTTCTTGTGAGATCTGGCAACCGAGTTACAGTGTGTACCTGCAATATGGCAGCGTGCGAGCTGAAGGGAGAGCTGAAGTACCGAGATGGACGGACAAGTCAGTTTACAGTACAAGCAGATGGCAATTTGAAATCAATGATAACTGGCATCAAGAAATGAAATGCTCATATATCTGAAGTTTTGACGGCTCTTGTTGAACAAGAAAGGGGCTCAGTGGAAAACAGCACAGCAGATGTAGATGGTAAGCTGCTAAAATGAAGACTGGCTTGTTTATGGAAAACCAACAGACTTAAAATAAAAAATAAATAAACAAATGAAAAATACATACAATAAAGACTACGAAGGTGGCTAAAAGTATCCCCTCATATGACAGCGAGCTCCTTAACTTTACTGATACTGCCTTCTGTCGTTTGTTAAGTAGTGACCAAACTTTTATTTATTTATTTATTTACTTACTACAAATACTTTATTACTTCAATATTCTTATTACAATTAAGTCAACGTCATTATATTTTGTCATAATTATTTTATTGTCTCATTTTTGTAACTTCATTCTATTTTTGAAACCCATGTTATAGATGAAGAGGAAGAGGACAGTGACGAAGAGGATAAGACCACAGAAATGGCCACCAAAAAGTCAAACTCAGAGCCTCCAAACAAGCGGATAAAAACCATGCGTTCATGATCTTCTGAACTGCCATTGTTTTGTTATGGCCTTTGTTACATAAAGATGTGTTGTTACATCAGTACCCTCCTCCTCAGAAAAACCTTTATGTCAGCCACAAGTTCAAGACTATGTTGAGATTTTGCCTTAATTTTTTCCCAATTCTGTTTATGTATTTCTAAGTTATTTTTCATAACTTCAGGTTCCTCTCAAAGGCGAAAGTATAACCGTGTGAAATGAAAATTGTTTTATCAATACATTGTTCCTGTTGTAAATAGTTACAAATTTACAGTGGTTATCAGTACTGTGGTTTCTTCAGCTAACAGGTGATAATAAACCACTGTGCAATAAACTGGATTCAAACTGTCCAATAAAATGTCTGAGTTTCTGACTGAGAAATCAATGTAACAGACTGCACATTACATTTCTTTATTGATTTTTGTCAGAGTTGTTTCAAACCACAGTGTATTAAGATTGCAATGGAAAGTTATTAACAAATATCCATTAAACATTATCATTATAAATTCACAGTCAAGCCCTTTTAGACAAAAATGATTTGCCTTTTTTGAACATTTCAACGAAGACACTGTTGACAAAAAGATGTGATTTTAAACATCAAAACACTTGGGTCTGCGGCACAGGTTGAAGTTGAGAAGTTTGAGACCCAATGTTTTGTGCCAGACTCATTACAACCTAACACACCCAACAAGTCTAAATAACCTTTGCATTTCTTATGCAAGATAAGATTACTCACACTGTCAAATGAAGCAGATATCCCTCAACAATAAGACATAAGATTGAGTTCACAACTATTCCACACAGACATGAATGTGATCACAGTCAAGCCCTTTTAGACAAAAATGATTTGCCTTTTTTGAACATTTCAACGAAGACACTGTTGACAAAAAGATGTGATTTTAAACATCAAAACACTTGGGTTTTGAACAAGTCTAAATAACCTTTGCATTTCTTATGCAAGATAAGATTACTCACACTGTCAAATGAAGCAGATATCCCTCAACAATAAGACATAAGATTGAGTTCACAACTATTCCACACAGACATGAATGTGAACAATTTGCTTTCTGAAACACAGATGTCTTTTCTCTGAGGACACTTGATTATCACTATGATACATGAAAAATAGTATTTGTCAAATAAACACAAATTAAAGAATTGGAGAAAATACTCTTGCCATGTCAAGAGCTGACAAGAAATCATATTTGAACAAAATACTGATAATAAAGTGTATTTTTAATACAAAACTTTCCTTATTACAACTCCTTGCTTTGTTCCTGCCTTGAGTGCATTTTATATTCAAAACAAATAAAAAGATAGACACTGTTATAAACAAAGGGACAATACATATGTGGCACCACTGTCAGCGGTTTTCTTATGTTCCACTAATAAAATGTCCACTGGAGTTGAGAACAAATGCCTGGAGCATTAAAGTTCCTCATAGTACGGAAACAATTACAGCTGTCCACACTGACAAATCTTTATTCATCTTGATTTATAGTAAATCTACCCACCGTCAGAAGTGTAATTCAAGTAGTACACAGAGTTCAACATCAACATTCTCCACATCTTGGGAAAATGGCTTAATTGCCTCCATTTAGGCTACTTAGATTTCATTTATCAAATTTAATTTCAATTATAAAAGTTTTTTTCAGTGAAATCAAGACAAAGCTTCTAAAAAAAAATTTAAAAAAAGTACCATAAGACTGAGCCAACATGGAAAATACTTCTGGATCCCGTTATAAATCGACTTTTATTATAATGTGGACCAATTCTGCCATTCAGCTTGAAAGAGTACGAAACATCACCTATAGTCCAGTTTTTTTGCTAAAAATACACAATAAAAACTGGTGTGGAACTGCAAGTGACTCAAACAATTAGCTGACAAAGAAAAAAAAACATTACAAAGAAATGAATCCTAAACACACTCCCCTTTTAATTCCTACACCAAAAAAAAATTCAGGACCAAGTCTTAAAAAATAATAATCTTATTTATGAATGCACTTTTGTATTGCCCAACCCCTAAGACACCAAACTGTATGGCACCTCCTCCTCATCTTTAACAATCACTTCACGTGTCAATCAGCTGCAGTCTGCTGATCTGATTGGAGGCCTTGGCGAAGGTTTGGTGACGGTTGCAGAGAACAGCAAGGCAGATGGGCAGAATACAGTATCCTACAGTCTTGGGGTCCGCCCTTGTGCAGGAGTAAAGAAAGAGGAACACCTGGAGGTAGGGAATGAGGAAAATGGTGGCCCACACCCAGAAGGGCAGGAGGAGAAGTCTCGTTTTCAGAGTCACGATCCATGAGGTTGAAGATGGGGAAGAGGAAGAAGCATCTCCTGACCATTTTGTCTGCGCTCCAGCCGCCTTTTCTACTTGTGCCAGTGCAAGTCGGTTGTATGTTTGGCTGATCTCAAATATATAATACACGGCAGCGACACTGGCCAACAAGTACAGTCCGACGCCGATCCACCCCATCCGCTGGCGGAAATTCATCATTCTCCATGCTCTTCTCTGGAGAAACAAAGACAGCAAATGCCCAGGATGACAAGAAACCATGTGAAATCATGTGATCAATGGTGTGATCACTGTTGAATATTCAGGAAATAAAAATCAAATCAGCTCAGCTTAAACTGTCAATTATCACTGAAAAAAATACCAGTATTGTCATTAAATGCTTATTAAATATACTAGTTACCGTAATAATTAATTATATTCACTAAAAATATATCACTAAAATATTTAATTTTCGAAACATTAACTTCATTGATGTTGTACGAAACACATTCCTAAAATAATTATAAAACTCTAGCTTGAAATATTAAATAAACAAAGAGGAAGTCCATCAAACACAAGAAAAATCACCATCTGGATATTTCTCAGAGCTGTTGACTAGTACTGTTGTGTCATTATTATATAGCGACACGCCCCCATCATATCCACTAAACACATGATTACACATGAGCGTTACTTACTGTGATCACACGATCAATCCATTTTGCGCGGTTTGCAGGACAATATGTTTCTCAAGTCAAAACACACAACGCCGCCACATGATTGTTGTCATAGGACTCACTTCCCGGAATAGCAACATCCGGGAAGTTTCCCGTGAATCTTCGCCGACTTTATTATTAACCTCGCAAAGTAGTCTACTGCCCCCCAGAGCATCACTGTGTCATATACAACTCCAGAAATCAAAATATGTGTACGCACAGGTGTGCTGTAACACCAACGGTTTTACCAAGCACAAATTCACTACAGAGGACAAATCACTATCCAGTTAGCAGTTGTAAAATTACAAGAGAGATTTAAAGGACCACAACAATTTTGAGATAAGAAAATGATTTAAACTGTATTAATCTATCCCTATAAACCTACCCCTAAATTTCACAGAAAACATTCAGAATTTTTACATTTAATAAAATATATATAATTTTGTGATTTATAAGCTGTTTTCCTTAAAATGTCAAACTCTTTTTTCTT